AGCACTTCGGGGCTGTCAGGTGCAATAGGGATTTCATGGGGAAGGTACGGGTCAGAGGCACCAAAACAGGTTTCCGTGTCGGTGGGGGTCCGATCACCATGCAGACACGTTTCTCTTTATGCAAACTGAGCATCTTCCTGGTCTGCCCATAGTGGCAGAGGACCCCTGTGCTGTGGGCGCAGAGGTGGGTGATGCGGGGTGGGCAGCTGGTGCCCTGGACCCCTCTCGCCTTGTCCCCGCTGGACCTGCCTCCTTGTGCGGTGGCAGCGGCTGGGAAGGGGCATTTGGAGAGCAGGGTTTCGCTTCTGGGGGGGTGATTTACACGTCTTCAGCAGGGAGCTGGGGAAACTCTCCTTCTGCAGAACAATCCTCGGCTGCTCTCTGTGTAAGGGAGAAGTGAGCCTGCCCCTGCCCTTCCCAGGGCTGCCGGCCCCTCCACTTTCACAGGTCCCAGCCGCACTGTGCATCCGCGTCTGGAGCAGTGGAGGGGTGGCTTAGGCCAACAGCCTGCTCGGGGGGCCCTTCCCTGCGGGGATAATATTAATAAGGATTGAATAACTGCCAAATTCAATGCAGTACATCTTGACATTGATGAAACAAGCATCTTGGATGCAGCAGAAGAGTTATTTTTTAAAAGAAGAAAGAAAAACGCACTTTGTAGAATGAGGGTGCAACTGTGAATTTTTTTCCAGCATCGTGTTCTTTATCTGTGCTAACTACAGGTATACACCTCCATCATGAAATGCTGAGTATTCAAGAATTAATTTCCATGTATTTTTTTTAAAACAGCTTCCCATCCCTGATGAATACATAGATAGTGCAGATAATCCTGGAATACATACAAACTAGCATAACCAGAAAAACCTGACGTTTGTACTGAAAATCTGTTACCATATGTAAAAATGAAAATGCAAAGGTAAGAGAAGACAAGGTCTAGCCTTCTTCCAGCTATTGAAGTTTTCAAAATGCCATAAAAGACTAATGTTGAGATGATTCAGGCATCATCTGTCCAGGTTTTCGTGCCGTGTCCATCAGCCTAGTACGTGTGTGCCTCCAGAGAGACCTGTGCTGGAAGGTCTGCAGAACGATTTTGATCCTTACTCTGATTTTGATCCCTGCCTCTGGGAGCAGCCTTCTCTGTACTGGTATTTATTTATCTTCCAGAAGCCTTTTTAACCTTAATAGCCAAAAAAACCACAGGACTGGGGCTTCTCATGGTTTTTCCCTTTGGCTGAATTATCTCAAGCGGACTGTACTTCACACATGAGTATGCACACGTGCTCGGGTACCTGCGTGTGCCTGAGATGGTGATTGCAAAGGGGAAGTTAAGGCAGAGATTTACACATCAGCAGCAGAGCCCGCTTATACCTCCCATGCACATTTTAGGATTTGTTCTTTGTTGGGGTTTTTTTTCCACTCCGGTCTGCTGAGTGCTGCAGTAGGGGACTGTTTAAAGAGATGGAAATAAATAAAATATTAATAGAACTTCAAAGTGAGTTTGATTCTCTAAAGATAAGTATTATTTATAATCTACACTCCCAGGCTGGGGGGAATGATTCATATCTTCGCTCCTCCTCAGGGCAGAGCTGTTGTTTGTATAACAGACAAACCGGCGGCACTGCTGGCTGCGGAGGGAGGGGGAAGCAGAAAATGCAGCACCCTCTGTGTCCCCAGCAGTGCCGGGAGCTGCCCACGCCCCGAGCTCGCAGGCGTTGCTGCTTTCCATCCCTAACACCTTGTGTAGGATGGGCTTTATTTCAGTGAGGCGCATCCCTGCGTCCCCTGGCAGATGGTGGGTTTCAGCCGCGTTTGGCAGTGTGGTGGTGCTCTTGAAGGTACTGGGCTCCTGGTGAAAACAGCTGATGATGTTTGAAGAAGAAAAGTAAATGGCCAGCCTATTTTAGGGGACATCTGAGGCCTGAAGTTTGCTGTAAAGGCGGTCATTTGGGTACCCACGCAGGACAGAGCATCCCGGGGGTGGGGGAGATGCGGTGGCCTGGTGAAAATCACAGCACTGCCAGAAACCAGCCCCTGTAGTCCTCTGCTTGTGGGACTGCTTGGTGTGGCTTAGTTTTGCTTACAGATACGTGTGTGTGCACGTACACGCACACACAAAGGTGTTTGCCTGGTAGAGTTGGAGTTGAAGTCTTTCTGTGTCTCAGAAAATCCACTGTCTGTGGATAACGAAGTGATGGGGCTGCCTGAATCTTCTTGCAAGCGATTGAAACCAGAGAAATAAATTATCCAGGAAAACACACTATGGCAAGGCCATTGCAAGGTGGTGGTTTGAGTAGCCGTAGAGTTAGAAAGCGTCGGTGTTTCGGAGCAGCTCCCTCGCTGTGGCACAGGGAGGATGGCGGGTGGGAGGGGTGCTGCAGCCCGAGCTCCATCCCATCTCGGGATGCCTGCCTCCCACGAGGAGAGAGGGGAAAATGGGCTTCAAGTCAGTCACGGTGGATAAGAAATGGTCTGTCCTTCGTGTAGGGATGGCCATAGGCTGGGCTTGCTCACTAAGCAAGCCCAGAAATTGCCAGTTGGCAGGGAAAAAAGCTGCAAATCTCAAGAAGCAGGATTGATCACATAGTGGGCTGCAAAAGAGAAGAAAAGAATTGAGAGCTTTTATCGTTCAGTTGTCAGACATAACATGGGCGGTTACCTGCCAGATCTCTTGAGAACCTAAAGGAGAAGAAATGTGAGGAAATTTTTTTTTTATTGGAACCAATTTTAAAAATATAAATAAATCTTTATATCAGTATGTCAGCGATAAAGTGGTGGTGACTTTATGGCATCTTTTTTTTGCATCTGAATTCAACACTTCAGTTTAAAAATCCTCCAAATTATTAGCTTTCAATTATTACCATGTCTGCTTCTTGACATGGTAAAACAAGAGGTAGTCTTCAAGAAGTCAGGCCAAATAATCAAGATAGCCGGGTTGTCCCTCTTCAAGCTGGACCACCCAACTGGAGGCATCTCGTGTAGCCCTGTGACGGAGGTGGTCCGGGGGAGGAGCAGGATGGGATGCTTGCCATCTCCGGGTCTGTCTGTCTGTCTGTCTGCACAGGTCATGGACGGAGCCCAGGGAGGCTCACAGGAAAAGGGAGGGACCCAGAGCGAGACGTGGTGTCTGTCAAAGCGCCTTTACAGCTTCCAGCCGCTCTCAGGAGCTCTGCTCGAAGGGTGGTGATTGTTTGCCAACCAGAAGTGGTATCATATGTTTCTTTGTCTTCATCGCCCTCAAAACTAAATGGTTTTTGTCTTTTGTAGAATCGCAGAAAAATGTAGATCGGAGGGGACTTGTGGAGGTGGCTGGGGTGAAACCCCTGCTCACGGCGGGGCCAGCTTCAGACTCAGGTCCAGCTCCCAAGCTGGGTCGGTTGCCCAGGGTCATATCCAGCTGAGCTGGGTATCGCTGGGGATGGAGAAGGACAGCCCGTGTTTCACTAGGTATTTTCTTTCATACGTGTTGGGGAAAAATTTTCTCCTCAGAAGGATGTCATCGGGATTTTACTGCGTTTTCTCCGTTGAGGTTTTGGGAAGCAGGACTGCCGAGCTCCAAGCGCCCTGTAACAACTCATCCTCTCTTAAAACCAAGTAGTGCTGGTTCCAGTCTTTTCTTAGTATCTCATGTTTTAAAAATTAAAACGTCTCAACAAGGAGAGAGTTTTTGTCTCCGCTATTTTACACTTGCTTTCGGTTATTTGCGTTTCGTCTAGTAGTAGAAGATTTTCTCAAGTTCCCCTTGGCAGGATTCCCTTTTATCTCCCTTACTGCGGTCTCGACTTGCTGTTAACAATTATCCTATATTATCTTGTAAGTCTGATTAGAAACATCCCTCCATCTTTTTATCTGGCCGAGTACTTACTTTTTGAGAATTAGGAGCGATTTACAGTTCTCTGATGGATTTATCGCCCCTTTCACTCGAGCGTTAGGGGATGCACACACCTGAGGAGGTGGAGTGCGGAGTTTTCTGTGCAGACAGGCTGGCTGTCTGTCCCTACAGACGCGCGTCGGTACCTCTCCGGCTCGGAGCGCAGCCAGCCGGAGCTGCCATGCAGGACCGGGGAGGCAGCGCTGGTGTTACCGCTCCGGGTGCTTTTGTATCAAAGTCTCCTGCAACTCCTGACAGTTTTGCTCTTCAGATGCTTAACTCTTCTCGGCGGTCTCCTTTATTTAATGAAGGAGCAACCCTGCTCCGCAGAGTGTGTCTGTGAGCCACGTAGAGGGGAGGAACGGATGCGTTTCCATTGCACCCGCACTGTCAGCTCCGATGATGGCATTACTGGAGTGTTTAATAAAACCTTTATTGGTATATTACCCGGAGTCACGGCGTTGGCAGGGATGCTGCCCCTTCGGGTTTGGGACTCGGTGGTTAATGAAATACAGCGAGCGCTAATTTGGACGGGGCTTCTCGTTTTGGAAAGGCAGGTGACACGTTATTGTGTTTGGGGGGAGCAGGGGCCGCGCCGCTCGCTGCCGCAGCTCCCGCTGTCAGAGGCTTAGCTGGCATTACGGGGAAAAAAATGGCAGGCCTGCGAATCTGATCCCCCGAAATGAAAGTCGAATGCCAAATTGAAATTCCTGCAGGATTTCCGATAGCAATGGGGGAATTGAGAAGCCCACAATTAAGCATATGGGCATTAAGATAATTGTCAGATCTGTTGGCGGACATGATAGAAGACAGATGGGTAGGAATCAGTGCGCTCGGCTGCAGCACCCTGGGAGACAATTTGACGTTTTACCTGCCTGAGCTGCTCTGCTGTGTTTGTCACGAGGCATGCGGCGCCGCATCCTCCCGGGCGGCCTGCGCGGTGTGCGTGGCGTGCGCGGTGTGCGCGGCTGCGTGCGGTGCGGCTGTACGGGCCATCTGCGCCCTCTAGTGAAACACAGCCCAGTGCCATGGCTCACCGTCCCCATCCCTCTCCTGGGGTCCCCAGGACTTGGGGCTCGGCCGGCTGCCCAGCACCGCACGGCCTCACCGCTGCCTCTCTCCTCCCCGGCAGGTCGGAGCGCACCGCGAGGATGGGGTCAGCCTCCGCGGGAGCCACTCGCTCGTGCCAAACCAGGTCCCGGTCCCCCAGCTGCCCGTCCAGTCCGCCACGTCCCCGGATTTGAACCCGCCCCAGGACCCGTACAGGGGTGAGTACCACCTGCCTGGGAAGCCCGTCCCGGGACGCAGCATCCCCAAAGACGCGTCTGGGACGGCGGTGACCCGGGCTGGAGGGATGAGGTGTCTGCGCTTCTGGTCACAGGGATGGTGGAGACTGTGACACAGCGCAGGGCGCAGCCGAGACTGCAGGGCAGAGCCTGTTTGCTAATTCAGCTTTGCTCTCTGAAATACTCCAGTTATTACAACTAGAAGCGTGCAAGCAACTTACCTCTGGACAGGGAGTCTTGATACCAGGACTGCTTTAAGCAGCAAAATTAAGAGTGTAGAAGACACTGCAGGAGGCACATCAAAAAGGTGTGAGTTTAAGGTGAGACTCAGACCCACAGATTTTCCACCACCTTTACAATTCTGCCCGGGGGCAGGACGGCACCAGGGTGCCTCTCGTTAGCTCGCAGGATGTGCTGCACTGTCCCAAGCCTTGCAGACTCCTCTGCAGGGTTGTTGCAAAGCAGGCCTGGAGCTAACCGAACCCAGAGGACATCGGGGGTTTGTTGTTATTCCTAGAGGCAGCTGATCTTCCCGTTAAAGCGAGGAAGAGCGAGCCCAAACTATTATGATGGCTTACAAGGTCTTGCTCATTCATTGCAGCCAAGGTATTTTGATTATTTTATGAAGATTTATGAATATTATATTGAAGATTTTTTTTTTTTTTAAGATGAAGGAAAAGTTACGTAGCGATTGAAGAACAGGAGTAGCAGCTAGGCGTCCTGTGCCACCTTCCACAGAGCAGAGCTAGACCTCAAAGCCCTGGCTGAAACCCCTTTCCAGGAGCTGCCGCCCCCACGCCTGGCTCTGCAGCAGGCAGCTGGGGCTGCGCTGCGGGTCACCCTTCGCCGGGGACAGGGGACACGCACCCAGACCGTTCAGGCGTTGGCTTAAGCACTGCTTGACAGCTCATACGTGTGTTTTCTCGCAGGCATGCCAACCGGACTGCAAGGGCAGAGCGTCTCTTCGGGTAGCTCCGAAATCAAATCTGATGACGAGGGAGATGAAAACCTCCAGGACACAAAGTCTTCTGAGGACAAGAAACTAGAGGATGACAAGAAGGATATCAAATCAATTACTAGGTCAAGATCTAGGTAACAGTATATAATAGTGTCGCTTCATTTAATTCCTTTACTGGATTTCGATGAAGTGAACAGAACAGGAGGAAACTATGAGGTTTTTTCCTGGCAGGTAAAACCACAGCCTAAGTGGAACGGGATGGCTCTTCTGGCAGTACCGAGTACCTTTCTGGTACCTGTACTCCAGGACGTCCTCAAATTCGAACAATTCACAAATTTGGACACTGAGCAAGTTCTCCACAATCTATAAAGAAATTGCGTTACGCTAAAATGTATGAATTAGGCTGTTATTCCTTTCTGCCTGTGCTTGCAAATTGGAATACAGTATGAATTTTCATCTCTCTAAAAACGTGCCTAAGAGCTGATCACACCTGCATCTGAACTAACAAACCGTATGCTTTTCTTTTACCTCTGAAATTAATTTGTCGTTCCCAGTCCTCAATTTCTGTAGATCTCTAGGGCTCCCTAAGTTTAAGCGGAGGGTTTAGAGGTCTTTACTGGTTCGCCATATTCTTTATCAATATTTGGAAAGTATTAGTGAAGGCATAGCTGGGTTGTATCATCTGGGAACTCATGCCCACGGTAAATGTGAACAATGTCTACGGGTGCTGCAGCCGTGAACCTGAGCAAGGGACAGGCTTTACTCCTGTCCCTTGAATTTCACCTGCCTCGCCTGCATGTCAGCACAGGGCCCGAGGCACAGCTCAGGACTGCAGATACTCGTCATCGTAGCAAAAAATCCCAATAAAGCTGAAACCCAGGCACAACCCTGCTTTGCTCAGGGGATTTTTTTGAAGATGAATGGCAGTGTCCTTCTGCCTTTTCTCCTTCCATGCCTGGTCCTCTGTATAAAAAACGAGCCGAGATAAGAAGCATCTGAGCAGACGTGCTGCCCCCAAGAGAGCGCCGAGACTTGGACCTCTCAGGCCAGCACTCGCTGATGTTTGAAACGTTAATTACATTCACGTCTCTTATGACGGGAGAAAATATATGACACTTGAGATTTCCTCTGAATAAATGTGTTGAAGTAACCATATGTATAAGTGAGGCTTTCATGTGCGTTTACGATATGGTAAGAAGAAAGCACCTTTATGCTGATGTGAGGTGATGGTAGTTCTTGTTAATTCAACAAATATGCTGTCGCTTATGCATATTTATATGTGCTTTGAAGCTTTTGTAGGCTAACATTTTTGCTTTTAACATGCTTGCAGCTTTAAAAGGTTACTCCTGATATTTAGTTATATGTCTAAATCCATGTTGTTAGGGCTGCTGAAAATTTATTACTCCATTTGCATAACCAATTCAAATTATATAGTGCCAGTGACTCACCAGTGGATGTGTTTTCAATTTAAAATCATCATTTTGTCTGGATAGAAAGCAGTTTTGTTGCAGAAAGGATGCAGAAGTTCACCGCAGGGCTCTTCACAGCCATAAATTACCTCTGCGGCTCTTTGCCCACGGGCGTTTCGGTGCCCCGTGCTCCATGCAGGGACTGGGGTGCTGCCCACACCCACCGCCTGC